TGTAGCTCAATGGTAGAGCCTAGCATACAGGAGGTCCTGGGTTCCATCCCCAGCACTGAAAAACAAGCAAGATAGCCCTGCTGCTGGGAGAACACAGAGTTTCTAGCAGTTCCAGGTGGGGCCAGAGCAGGGCGAGACCATCTGGAAAATGCAAGGCTCAAAGAAAGAGAAGGTGAGTGAAACAAGACAGAGGGATACAGGGAAGAGAGGCTATCACACACAGGCCACAGGACAGACCAGAGCCCCAGGCCTAGTCCCACATACAATCCAGAGAACCACCCCCACTGCCCCACAGAAGAGTCGGGGAGTCCTGGAGGAAGTTAGACCCCCCAAATCTTTCGGAGACCGAGTTCAGACTTCATTTGTGCGAGAGTGTCTTGAAAACCACAAGAAAGACCCAGCGACCAATCTGTCATCCGCTGGGGCCAGAAGAAGAGGCTCATTGGATTTGGTGGTCAGTGACCCCCAAGGGCACACAGTTTGGTAGGGGTGAGGGCAGAGGGCAGGTCCTAAAGTTAAGGACCACTCCAAAGGCAGGAATGGTCACGACAGTTACCGCTCCCTGTCCTCCATCTCCCTGTCTTCTATCTCTCTGTCCTCCTCCTTTCTCTCCTCCAGCTCCCTGTCCTCGGGTCCCCTGTCCCCTGTCCGCTGTCCCCCTGTCCTCTGGCTTGAGTGCTTTCTCACAGGCATCACGCTTGTGTGGTCAGAGCTTATGGCAAATAAGTATCCAGACTCTAGAGGTTTGCACTCAAGATGTTCTAAAGGCTAAGCCAGGCATGGTGGCAAATGTCTGTCTAGAACTTGCAAGGTGAAGGAAGAAGGGTTAGGAATTCAAGGTCATCCTTGGCTACATAGTGAATTCCAAGCTAGCCTGGGGTACATGAGAATCTACCTCCAAAGTCCAAAACCAATCCCCTCCCCTAGCAGTGACACTTTAGGTGAGACAGAATGGAAACGTGTCAGGACAAGTGAGTCTTAGCAGGGAGGGTTTTAAGTGATGACCACAGAGGTAGAAAAGGCAGGACCCGGAAGGGGCTTCTAGCCCCCAAAGTCAGACACATTCTGAGACAAATTGGGCCCAGAATCTCCTCTGCCAGAAATTTCCACACTGTTTCATGATCCAAAATGTAGACTAACCTTGGTCACTTTTGTCACCTGCTCTTTATCTTGAAAATGAGAACATGAAGAAAACATTAGACTCTCATGCACAATTAAAATGAAAAACATGGCTGGAGAGATGTCTCAGTGGGGCTCAAGTCTTTAATACCCCAGGTTTGGGGTATCTCAAAGATCTAAACCACAGTGATTACAATTATTTACTAATTAGTTCTAATAATTATTTCTAATCCTTTAATTTCTCAGTGTAACTGGAAATAAACAGTAAGGTTGTAGGCTAGGACATGGCTCAGTCAGTAAAATACTTGCCACACTGAGGTTTTTTGTTTTGTTTTGTTTGGTTGTTTGTTGTTTTTTGATTTTTCGATACAGGGTTTCTCTGTATTTTCTGTATTGCTTTGGAGGCTGTCCTGGCACTCACTCTGTAGACCAGGCTGGCCTCGAACTCACAGAAATCCACCTGCCTCTGCCTCCCGAGTGCTGGGATTAAAGGCATGTGCCACCGACATCCGGTTGACACTGAATTCTTATAACCCATGTCACAGCTGGACATGGCAGTGTGGATCTGAATCCCAGTGCTCATATGTCAAGGTGGAAGGCAGAGGCAGGAAATCCCCTGAAGCTGGCAGCCTCCAACCTAGCAGATGAAGCACCAGACAGTAATAGATCCTATTTTAAACAAGGTAGAAGCTGATAGCAGACTCCTGAAGCTGTCCTGAGTCCTCCACATGCGTGCCCAAAGTCACACACGCACACGCGCACACACACGCACACACACGCACACACACACGCAAACACACGCACACACACACGCACATACACGCGCGCACACACACACAAACATACACACACAGACACAGACACATGCACACACATTGGTACACACATACACACATGTATACACACACGTACACGTATATACACACACTCACACACAAACACACACATTGGTACACACATATACATACATACACATATACACACACATTGGTACACATATACACACATATACACACGCAAACACATATACACACAAACATGCACACTCACACACGTATACACACACACACACACACACACACACACACACACACACGCACGCACACGACCACAGTGGTTTGAATGAGAAAGGTCCCAGATGGCATGGCTCCAGTATTTGAGCCCTTGGCGTCCAGTTGGTTGTGTAGTTGGGGAAGTCTGTGTGTATTTGAGCCCTTGGCGTGCAGCTGGTTGTGTAGTCGGGGAAGTCTGTGTGTCACTGGGTTGGGCTGTGAGAGTATGTACATCCTCACCTGCGTCTACCTTGCTCTCTGCTTTGTGCTTGTTTGAGCATGCGTACTCTAGGCTTCCTCCTCCACCACCCGCCACGTGCCTTCTCGCACCGATGGACTTTTATCCCTCTTGAACCACAGCCAAAATCAATTCTGTCTTCTTTAAGTTGCCTCTGGCCATCATGTTTTATCACAGTGGCAGAAAAGTAACACAGAGAGCTAGGTGGTGATATGTTATTTATGATTCATTAAAGCTTGCCTGAGGATTCAGAAAGCAAAGTCAATCACAAGCCATAGGAGCAAGGCACACCTTTAATCCCAGCAGCCAGAAGCTAGGAGGTGGTGGTACACGCCTTTAATCCTAAGACTCAGGATTAAGAGGCAGGCGGATCTCTGTGAGTCCGAGGCCACCCAGATCTACACAAGACTGATCCAGTTCTGAAGAGAAACAGCCCACACAAAGGTGATCTCAGCACCTGGGATCACACGCCTTTAATCCCAGCGTTAGGGAGGTAAGTAAGACAGGAGCAGGGTCTCAGTATGGGGCATTGATTCTCCAGCCCCACGGAGGATAGGAAGACATTGAGTCTCGGGAGGAGAGGCAGCAGGGTCAGCCCACTCAGCCTGAGGTAGCGATGAGAGCTAGCGGCCCACTTCTTTTCTTTGCTGTTCTTCAGCTTGAAGTCTGAACCCCAGCATCAGGCTCTGGGTCTTTTATTCATCGTGTGACAGAGACAACAATACACAGAAGGCCTGTGAGATGGCAGAGCTGATTGACACTTGCCAAGCCTGACAACCTCAGCTCAAGCCCAATGACCAACATGGAGGAGAGAGGAGTGACACGTATGCACTGTGACACATGCACGCCTCCACACATACGCAGAATTAACAGTGGCATTAATAACAATTAATTAGTTAAAAGGTAAAATCTAAGGTTGCCTTGTGTTGTGACCCCGCTCGGACACCCCATGGGGGAGGGGGTGAGAAGACTCAGCACCAAGGACTCAGGTGCTGGGAGCCAGTGAGTAGCAGAGCTGCCGCAGACTCATTCACTAGAGAAGTTTTGTTTTGTTTTTTTGGTTTTTCGAGACAGGGTTTCTCTGTATTGTTTTGGAGGCTATCGGTCCAGCCCAGCCTCGAACTCACAGAGATCCGCCTGCCTCTGCCTCCCGAGTGCTGGGATTAAAGGCGTGCGCCACCACAGCCAGGCTCACTAGAGAAGTTAAGCCTGCCTTTGTGCCCTCCCAAGGTTCTGTTGGCTTAGCTGGCTGACTCCCTGCTGTTGTCCTTTTCTCGCTGATGTCCCTGGGTCAGGTGTCTCTCTCTCAGCAGTCTCTGGGTACAGAGGCAGGCTGGGCTCATGCAGCCCGGCCTGGGCACCTGGGCAGGCCTACTGCGGCTTGGGTAGGTCGGCCTGCGGTTTCTCCTACAGCCTTGTCTTGTCTTGTCTTGCCATGGTGGGAATGGAATCCAGAATCTTTTTGTTTTGTCGCATTTTCTCATTTTTGCCTTGTTTTGTTGAGACAGGGTTTCTCCGTGTAACCCTGGCTATGCTGGAACCAGGCTGGCCTTGAACTCTCAGAAATCTGCACAGCTCTGCCTCCTGAGTGCTGGGATTAAAAGTGTGCACCACCACTACTGCCCTGCTGAAATCCAGAATTTTATGTGAAGTAAGCAGCTGATAGTCAGAGAGCCACCTCCCAGCCCTTGGATTTTGTTTTTATTTTTGTCTTGTTTTTGGGTTTTAGAGACAGGGTTTCTCTGTATTGTTTTGGAGGCTGTCCTGGAACTCTCTCTGTAGACCAGGCTGACCTCAAACTCACAGAGATCCACCTGCCTCTCCCTCCTGAGTGCTGGGATTAAAGGCATGCACCACCAACGACTGGTTTGTCTTTTTTATATACAAGTTCTTACTGTATTTCCCGGACTGATCTCAAACTCATGGTCCCCCTGTCCCTTTCCCAAGTGCTGAGATTATAGGAGTTTACCACCATGGCCAGCAAGATTGCACTAGAAAAAAAATTGAGATGCTTTCCCCTCAACAGACAATTAGCCCAGTGCACGAGGGAGCTACATCTGGAGAAAGAACACAAGAGAAACCTTGGAGGTCAAAACTGCAGCTTCCTTTAACTTCCAAACCTCATGTTTGGAGACCAACCAGTGTCTTTTCCCCTCCTTGTGACAACTGGGGGGCTGCTGGCTGGGGGCTGTAGGTTGCAGAGATGTAGCCCCTCTGCATGTGGAGGCCCCTGGCGAAACATCAGCACGGATCTTATCAGCCTGCCGAGGAGAACGGGCTCCTGCAAAAAGCCATTAAGGTCCAAAGGACAAGAAGATCACATACTAAGTCAGCCATGGGCAAACTCGGCAGTTCCAGCCTGCAGCCGAGCGAGCAGGGTGTCGGAAACTTCAGAGAGGCAGAGCGGACCTGCTCGCCTGCCTGGATGAGGATGGATAAGACAGGGACAGAGACGCCTCTGCCCACACCACACATGAAAGGGGTAAGTGCCAGTTTTGGAAACTGCCTCTGTCCCACGAACCTGGAGACCTTTGTATGCAGATAAGGGTCCTGGAGTCAATCTATCAAGGAGGGCTTGGAGGGGAGTGCCTACCCAGATGGTCACAGGGGGACTACCGAACCCAAACCCCGCGGCTCAGAATAAGCATACTCAGCGAAGCTTGCGGGGGGAGCGGGGGTGGGGGGGGGCACAGATGACGCTGCTTCACAACCCTCATCTACCCTGTCCCTCCACCCCTAATGGCAAAGGCAGGAAAAATGTGTGCCCAGAAACAGGAAGGAGGCCTCAGAGCTCTGACAGCACCTGCTTGGGTCACCTTCCCGAACAGCTCCCTCCCCCTCCTCCCAGGATCATAGTCGGCTCCCGGGCAGATCTTCCTTTCCACCTTAGGAAGAAGAGGGGGCCTAGCCTCCCTCACCCCACCCACCCCCAATGCTAGATGCCCCAGGAACCAGCCCGAACCAGCCCTACAAGAGTGAGTCCCTGACCTTGGAAATCTCTCCCGCAGAGCCTCAAGCCCACGCTGGTCCTGACCACTCTAAGCGCATCCTTTGGCTCAGCCTTCCAGTACGGCTACAACATCTCTGTGATCAACACGCCTCACAAGGTAGGCACAAGGGGCGGCCCATGGGTGGAAGTCAGGTGCTGTCTTGCCTCTGAAAGCCTCCGTCCTAGACTCCCCCAGAGGCTCACCTCTGAGGGCCAGAGGCGGCTAGAGCCGGTCATCTTTTCTAGGCGCCTTAGTGCTAGGGGACCTGCCTGGAGACTGTGCTCAGGCGCCTTGGGAGGGCCATGTGTGGATGGCTGGGTTTGGGGCAAGGAGAAGCACCAGGGATAAACGTTGGCTGGACCGAGTTCAAGAGGAGACAGGTGGTGTGAAGCAGAAACCTGGGCAGGACAGTTGTAAAATAATTTTGCTATATGGGAGCGAGACTCCGAGAAGGAAGTTTAACAGGGGGATAATGAGGGGCATAGCCTGGGTTTCACGCAGTAGGAGCCATGTGTATACGGATGGGAGATTTGAGGTACAGAGAGAGAGAGAGATGGAGAGAGAGGGGGGGGAGAGAGAGAAAAAGAGAGAGAGGAGAGAGAGAAAGAGAGGGGGAGAGAGAGAGAGGAAGAGAAAGAGAGAGGGAGAGAAAGAGAGAGGGAGAGGGAGAGAGAGAGACAGAGGGAGAGAGAAAGAGAGAGAGGGAGAGAGAAAGAGAGAGAGGGATAGAGAAAGAGAGAGAGGGAGAGAGAGAAAGAAAGAAAGAGAGAGAGAGAGAGAGAGAGAGAGAGAGAGAGAGAGAGAGAGAGAGAGAGAGAGAGAGAGACCAGTGGAGCAGGACCCACAAGAACAGATGCAGAAAGGATGTCCCTGAAGGAGCGAAAGGGACAAGTGCCTTGGGTGGCACGGTCTATTCACTTAAGGTGTAAATTCAGCAGTACTGAAAAACAAACCGGCATCACAGAAGACAGGTGCAGCAATGCTCACCGGTCGTCTCAGGTGCTGAGGAAGTGAAAAAGGAGGATTGAGAGTTCGAGCCCGGCCTGGGTCAGTGAGACCTTGTATCGAAGATGGACAGGTAAATAAACAGACAGACAGACAGACAGATAGATAGATGTCATTAATTTAAAGCTATTGTTTATTTATTTATTTTATTTGTTTTGGTTTTGGTTTTTGGTTTTTCAAGACAGGGTTTCTCTGTATTGTTTTGGAGGCTGTCCTGGAACTTGCTCTGTAGACCACACTAACTTCGAACTCACAGAGATCCGCCTGCCTCTGCCTCCCGAGTGCTGGGATTAAAGGTGTGCGCCACCAACGCCGACTCAGCTATTGTTTATAAGAGGAAAAGCAAGTAGTTACCCATGGTATATATACATATGTGAATATGTACAACTAGGAATTGCATTTCTATGCATTATGTATGCAGATATTAGTTGCTTATTATCATCGATTCAGCACCTTTGATCTTATGAAGGTTTTAGTGGTTATTAGGTTTTGCAATACTGAGGAGCAAACCCAGGGCTTCTTACCAGAAAAATATTGCACCACAGAGTAACATCCCTGGCCAGGTTATTTTCCTAAGAAATATTTTATTTCACTAGGTATGGTGGTGCACACCTTTAGTCTCAGCACTGGGGAGGCAGAGACAGGAGGATATCTTGTGAGGTCAAGACCAGTCTGGTCTACATAGAGAGCTCCAGTACAGCCAGAGCTACATAGAGAGACCCTATCTCAAGAAGAAGAAGAAGAAGAAGAAGAAGAAGAAGAAGAAGAAGAAGAAGAAGAAGAAGAAGAAGAAGAAGAAGAAGAAGAAGAAGAAGAAGAAGAAGAAGAAGAGGAAGAAGAAGAAGAAGAAGAAGGAATATGCACGCATAATTGCATTTATTTACTTGTATCTATTCAGGCAGTCTTGAGTGTGCCTGAGTATGTGTGGGGCATGTACTGCCACAGTGACTGTGTGACGTCAGAAGACAGTAAGATCCTCTCTCTGCTTCTCCTTGAGGGTCTGACTCAAGCCATCAGCTTTGGCTGAGCGACCACTGGGCCATCTCACTGCTCCCATTCCTAGGTTTATCGAGGCATTATATACATCAAGCTGGCCCTGAGCCATCCTCCTGCCTCAGCCTCTCCAGTGTGGTGATCAGAGGCATGAGCTACTGCTGGTGGTGGCCCTGTCAGAGGAGCAACAGTTGGCAAGCGAGTGTCAGCCCACCAGGAGGTGAATTCCTGATGGATGAATCTCAGATAGGCAAAGCCCCAAGACCACAGACTCCAGAGTGTCTTTTGCTTCTGCTGTGACTACCCATGTTTGCCGCTGCCATCTTTCTCTGGCAAGGTGTGAATGGGTGATCCCCACTGCCTGTAATGTAGCGTGTTTACCTCATGGAAACATTCCACTCCACTGGGCATTTTACCTACATTACTATGAAGATGATTCCTTCCTAAGCTGTCTAACTGATAATAACGTTAGTTCCGATAGAGTTTTGATGATTGAAACTAACTACAAGGAAGTGTCACACAGCTAGGGCTTAGCTGCATAGATTACAGCTCAGGTTAATGATTAAGGAAAACAGTTGAGTCCCAGGAGCCGGGCTGGCTTGAATTTCTTAAATCTTGATGTCGAAAGATGCAGCCACAGGTTTCAGTGCGCGTCACAGCTGAAACGAAGCCTTAAAATGACGCCAGGGTAGATCGAGACGTTGTGATGACAGCTTTGAGATGAAAAACCCTAGAAAACAATCTTAAGTTCACAAGGACATGTAGCTAAGGAACAGACTAGTTAGGTTAGGGATCAAAAGACAAAGCAGCCCAATTCTTACCAGCTGACGCACTCTCCTTGCTAGGATTGATTAGTGATCAATGATGATGATTAATTGACTGGCAATTGTTTTTCCTGTATAAAAGTTTAGGGTTGTGATTTCTTTAAGATTCCTTATAAGATTACCTTTCACGATAGGTAATCAAGTGATTGATATGTTCTTTGTAAACACTCTATGTGGCCTGCCAGCAAAAGAACTGGCTGAGAAAAGTACATTGCTTGATCACACCCTGTTGATCTATAACAAGTTGCTCAGGTATGAACGAACGTGGCTTCTTGGGACATGTTTTTCACCTATAATACATAAAATCTTTAATCATATGAGGGATATGGGAAACATGCTGGGTTTTTTTTTTACTTGTACTCATTGTAATCATTCACTTGAAAATGAAATGTAGACACATTGTCATTTTTATATTGCTTGAAAGATTTTGCTGGGGGTGTATAAGCTGTAAGGGAAAGAACAGAGAGTTTGAAGAAAATCATCAAGATAGAGAGCAGGGACATCTCTGGATAGAAACAAGATTGGAGAATAAAGAATACAGAAGGAAACCGTCAAAAGAGTGTGTCTTCCCCTCACCCACTCAGATAAAAAAGTCATCATTCCTTTTGAGCCCTGCACTGCTGGAGGCTGGCCCCCAGGGCCCGGAAGGCTAGACTTTAGTCTACCACTGAGATACACCCCCCAGTTTGGGATCCTTTTTTTTTAAAGAATTTACTTATTTATTATGTATACATACAATGTTCTGCATGCATGCCTGCAGGCCAGAAGAGGGCACCAGATCTCATCACAAATGTTTGTGGGCCACCATGTGGGTGCTGGGAATTTAACTCAGGACCTCTAGGAGAGCAAGTGGTCCTAACTGCTGCCATCTCTCCAGCCTCTCCTCTCCACCGCACGTTTTAAGGCAGAATCTTGGTAGTTGAGTCTAGCCTCCCACTCTGGATGTAGCAAAGCTGACCTTGAAGTTCTGATCCTCCTGCCTCTACCTCCCCCTAGTGCTGAGATTACAAGCATGCACCACCACAGCTGATCTTATTCAGGGTTGGGGATGGAACTCAGGGCTTCCTGCACACTGGGCAAGTACTCTGCCCTCTGAACTGCATGCCCAGGCCCGGGCAATCTCTTCTAAGGATGATATAGGTAAAGAGTCATCACAATTATAATTAATGTACTGGCTACTTTTATGTCAAGTTATGCAAGAGAGAGCCATTTTGGAAGAGGGAACCCAACTTGAGAAGATGCTCCCACTAGACAGGCTGGTGGGCAAGCATTTTCTTGATTGATGGTTGCTATGAGAGAATGCAGCTCACTGTGGGCGGGGTCATCCCTGGACAGGCGGTCCAGGTTTGCATAAGAAAGCAGGCTGAGAAGCCCATGGGGAAGCAAGCCAGTAAGCAGCGCTCCCCCATGGCCTCTGCTGCAGCTCCTGCCTCCAGGTTCCCGTCATCCGTTCCTGCCCCGACTTCCCTCAGTGATGGGGCGTGAGCTGGACGCTATAAGAGACAATGAGCCTTTTCTCCCCAAGATGCGTCAGGTGTTTTGTCACAGCTATGGAAGTCTATCATTCCAGGCAGCAGCCGATGCTTTATATAATGGTGAGGGGATTAAAGCTACAGAGGTTGTCAGCTCCCCAAAGTCACCCAGCTAGTGTGAGTCTTGTCTACACTGCCTCTGGCAGCATAAGGCTGTGAAAGGGAATTTTCAATCTTTGTTCTTGTTGTTGAATCTGCCTTCCCATCTCTTCCCCGTTGCACACAGAGTGTTATTTTGCTCTCAGCTGCCCACAGGGCGGCTCGAGGTTCAATGTGTACGGCCGGTACTGGCAGGAATAGTCCGCTATGAGACGGCAGGGGGCAGCTGAGGACACTTTCATCGCCATTTCTATGAGTCGCATAGTATCCTGAGCAACGGATGGGGCCCTGTCTTTCAGGTCTTCAAGTCGTTTTACAATGACACGTACTTTGAGCGGCACGGAAAATTCATGGACGAGCATTCCCTGTTGCTCCTGTGGTCCTGCACCGTCTCCATGTTCCCTCTGGGAGGCTTACTGGGGTCCTTGATTGTTGGCCCGATGGTCAATAAATGGGGCAGGTAAATAGTGATGTCATTCCCAAACTTGAAATTCATCACAGCAAGCCGCAAGCTCCCCTGACGACTGAGCTCCTGCTGCGTAGCCGAGACCACCCTGAGATCAGATCCGAAAGCAAGCTTCCGCCTTGCCGCACACATCTGGGCACAAACTAGCCAGACCCTTTGGGATCTCTTTCCTGGGCAGCCACATAGGAGAAGCGTCCTTCCACCGCCTGCCCCAGAGACCCCGCACTCTCTGAGGTCAAGGTTCTGGTGGTACTTAGCTTGGTGCCTCGTAGGCACTCATGGCAGGTGTTCAGAAATGTCACTGAAGGAGATTCGTCCTGGGGTCAGACGGCTTCTGGTCCTAGTAGCAGGTGTCCTGAAGTTGGGAACAGGGCTGGGTGAGTCACCACACGTGCCTTGGCCTCGTATCTTGGTTGGAGGGGAAGCCCAGATGTGTGCACTTTGACTGCTCGAAGACCCATGCTACACAGGCATGGCTGAAGATAAGGCGGGCTGTACGGGTCAAGGTCCCAGGAAGGGGAACCCTGGGTTAAGGTCTTGGGGTGAGGCCCAGCTGCCCTCTGCTTGGCCAGGTCAGGCTTGAACTTGTCACACCAAGGCAGGCTGTGTGAGAATGCGGAGTGGAGAACCCACAGGGAAAAAGAACTCTAAAAACATGGCGGTTTCCTTTTCCTGCGTTAAAGAAAACATTATCCGCTGGAAATTGTCTGCTTATGAAAACTGCACCCGGAAGCCTCTCCTCTTGTAATACTTAGTGGACGGTGAGCTCGTCCTTTCTTGTGCGGTTGAGTGAAGAAAGAATTCAATAGATTTGATCATGCCATAGGTCAGGCTATGTATGCTATCACCTTGCAAACATTGATTAGACTATTGTAGAACCCAAGCTCTCCTCCTCCTCCTCCTCCTCCTCTTCCTCCTCCTCCTCCTCTTCCTCCTCCTCCTCCTCTTCCTCCTCCTCCTCCTCTTCCTCCTCTTCCTCCTCCTCTTCCTCTTCCTCCTCCTCTTCCTCTTCCTCCTCCTCTTCCTCCTCCTCTTCCTCTTCCTCCTCCTCCTCTTCCTCTTCATCCTCCTCTTCCTCCTCCTCCTCTTCCTCTTCTTCCTCCTCCTCCGTTATGAAACTTTGGTTGTAGAAGCTTAAAGACCTTTTTTTTTTTTGAGATAGTGCCTCACTTTGTAGACCAGGCTGACCTGTCACTCAGAGAGATCCACCTGCTTCTGCACCCCAGGTACTAGGATTAAAGGTGGGTGTCACCACACCCAGCCTCTTAAAGACAGTCTCTTGTTATTTTGTTTAAGTTACCGGTAATGAAACATGAACCGCCAGTCAACAGTCCCACGTGGAGTTTATTGGTAGAGAGGAAAAAACGGGGGGTGAGAGGAGACCAACCCGAGCAGAGAGAGAAGGGGGAAAGATGGAGCAGAGGTTTAAAGGGGAAGCCCGCGCATGCGCACTGAGTCCTGTAACCGCAGTCACGTCACTGTGCGTGCCCCGGCCCCGTCGTCAGGGGGCTGGGGTCAGTATGATGCTGGGGTTCCAACACAGGCTCCTCAGGCCCTTACTGCAAATGAGGAGCCAGAAGGTGAAGTGAAGTCAGCCTGCCTAGTAGGGTCCCGTCAGCCTGCGCTTCCCTGAGGCCTGCAGGTTTCTTGGGGTTCAGGAAGGGTAAGGGGTTACCAGGAATACAGGACTGCTATGTGCTATTTATCCTCCTGGGTCTTCAGGGGCTCCAGGGGGAAGCTTCAGGGCTGTGGCAGCCCTAGGGAGAAAAAAGTGGCCAGGGACAGCCCGAGAGCACTTCTGAGTGTTGATGAGCAGGGGACATTTCCATAAAGACCCATAAGCCCTGCTTCACCCACAACAGTCAGGCACTGGGCCCTCAAACCACTGGTGGCTCCAGGCCTGAAGATGGGGAGCAATTAGCAGCCCCTGGAGTGGGCGTGGCAGAACACAGCTATAATCTAGCCCTCTGGAGGTGGAGGTTGGAGCATTGGCAGCCTGGGATACATGAGGCCCTCTTTCAAACAAACAAACAAACAAACAAAACCTAAAAAAAGCAACAAGGGGTGGCGTCCAGGGCCCGGGGGGCACCCAGCTTAGCGCTGCTGTACAGGTCTTCCCTCCCTCCCCGCCACAGTCAGCTAGTCCTGTTACGCCCAGTCCGAGGGACCCCAAAAAGACCACCACCAAGGAGACGACTCCCTGAATGCAAAGGCAAAGGTTTCTTTATTAATGAAGCAGAGGCAGGGATCTCACTTGCTCAGGGGTGAGTGAGATGCCTGTTTACAGCTAAGGGGGTTTTATAGGGGAAAGGCCATAAGGCTGAAAGATTACAAAGTTTCCATGATTACACAGGGTAAAGCAATAACTATATGCTTGAGAAAATGCAATTGAACAGGAAAGGGCAGTGGCCATTTGGTCGTGAGTGTGTTAATTATCCCTGGGACAAGGTTTTTGTTTTTGTTTGTTTTTTGTTTTTGTTTTTATGAGACAGGGCTTCTCTGTATTGTTTTGGAGGCTGTCGTCCAGCCCGGCCTCGAACTCACAGAGATCCGCCTGCCTCTGCCTCTCGAGTGCAGGGATTAAAGGCGTGCGCCGCCCGCCGCCACCACCCGGCAGTGACAGGGGTTTTTAACAACTGTTAATTGGTGGAATTTTGGTCTTCTTTGGGACAAAGGAATGTTGACACAGCTGGGCTTTAGACTTCTAGTTACGTACTCACACAGGGGGTCAGATTCTTTTGTCCAGCTCTCTCTTTTTGTGCTGTCTTAGGTAGCTCAAGATCAGAAATTCCTTTTTTCCCTGTATGAGCTTTGTTAATTTTTCCTATTACAGTCCCATTTTGCACCCATGTGTCATGGGAGTCTATCTGGTCAACATCCCTGGCCAGCTTGAGGTCTGGTTTAGACATCGCCAGTGGGGCTTGACTAACCCAGTCACCGGAAGCTCAAGCGCTCCAGAGACGCTGCAGTGTTTGGGATGCACTGTGTCTCCACCACTCCTGTTAGCAAGCCCTCCCCTTCCTGGAGCTCTGACACACACTTTCTCTACTGCTTTACCATTCTTGGTCAGCTTGGGAGAGCATTATATATCGCAAGAGTACTGGTCCCATCATGAGGAGTACCCCTCCCACGAAGGACCAGTCATCTGAGGGGCGGGGATTGCTGCACATGTGTGATCCCAGGGGACACTCCGGTTCACACAGCCCCACCCGCCAACACTTCTAGGGCATAGGGTAGCTCATTTGTAGGGGACAGCCTGGAACACTGGGTTCGGTGTGGAAACGCCTGTTCCGGGAAACCCTGTCCTCTGGGCCCCCGCTGTCTTGCAGAAAAGGAACACTGCTGATCAACAATGTCTTCGCTGTGACTCCTGCCATCCTGATGGGAGTCAGCAAAGTGGCCCGGGCCTTTGAGCTGATCATCTTGTCTCGAGTGCTGGTGGGAATCTGCGCAGGTACAGAGAGTGGCACTGGTGAGGGGCAGCTCTGAGACACGGGTGCCCAGCCCTGGGGACCAAGGATAGACACAGGGGTCTAGCTGTCTGCCCTTTTCCTCCCTAGGTGTCATTCATTTCCCAGTCCTAGGCCCTAGCAAGCCCCATGCTTTCTAGCCCCTCCCACCATCCCTCCCCTCCCTCCCTTCCTTCATCCCTCCCTCCCCTCTCTCCCACCATCCCTCCTTTATGTCTTTCACCGCACCTGGAATCCCAGCACTCCGAGGGCAGAGGCAAGTGGATTGCTGTAGATTCAAGTCTAAATTGGTCTGTATAGCAAGCTCCAGACCAGCCAGGGCTACACCATTTAATGAAAAAAAAAAAAAAAGAGATGAAAGGAGGAGATGACTACTCCTAGACATGGTGGATTGGAAGGTTTATTGTAGATAACAGGCAGGGCATAACCAGAGGCACCTGGAAGGGTCCAGATTGAATGGGACCCTGAGCTGGACCATCTGAGGGGAGGCAGGAGAGGAGAGGAGAGAGCCAGGAGCCAAGAGGCCAGGAGGGTAAAAGGCAAAAGGACCAGTGTAGCCAAAATGACTGATTATATAGGAAGAGCCGCTGGGAGAATGGCAGCCCAGCTCAGTCCCTGGTCTGGAGAAGTTTAGGGTAGGAGGCATGAAACACCAGCCAGGAGGACTCTGTAATAGGCAGGGGCTGGGGGATGCTGGGAGAATCTGGCAGCCAGGGTCTGCTTTGATATGTTGGATAGGGACCTCAGCCTCAGCCTTTTCTCCCGGGTTTGAGACCTAACAATCATGAGATCTTGTCGGGGAAGGGAGGAAGGTGGGACAGAAAGCAGAGGAAGGGAAGAGCGGGGAGGAAGGAGACATTTTACTGTGAGGAACACTTAACAGTCCAGTTTTGCAACTATCTGCCAAGGAAGGCAAACACTTTAAACTGAGACAGAATGGCTTCAAGGGCAAAGAGTACAGAATCCAGTGTATCTGTCTCAGTCATTAGGATTCTTAACTATTGTGGCTCCTCTTATTTTTAAAAAGTAAGAGAGCTAGGGCTAGCAGTGTGGCTCAGTGGTAGAGTGCTTATTTTATGTATACACACATGCACACACACATACACATACACACACACACACACACACACACACACACACACACACCCCTAGGTTCAATGCTTGCTGGGTCCGGCCTGTATCAGTCCTATGCTGCAAGAGCTATCTATTTTGGACTGATGTCTTTAGGGCTGTGTTTGGAACCAGCTGAACAGCCCCAGGTCCAACACTGAGTGGGGGAGTGTGGGTCAGGGAAGTCCTAGTTACCCAGTGGTGTTACGGAGACAGAGACATCATGTCATCTCAGGAAGGCTCTCAGTTAATACTGAAGACCACGGCTTATTCAAGCATCCTCTTAAATAGCTTTCCAAAAGCGGGGGTACTGGCAGAAGACATCTATTATCCTGTATAGAGCTGATATCAAATATTTCGTTTAATCATCAAGACACCACTAAAACTGCACATCCTCACTAACCTTCTGGCAAGTCCCACTCATCCCCAGGTACATCTATCTAGCCCTCAGCATGGGTGTGGGTCCACCCAGGGCCCAGGTCTTTTGTTACACAAACTAGGAGCCGTTTTCCACCATGGCCATGCCATCCGAAGGTAACCAGCTGGCTTCTAAAAGACAATAGGGTAACTGAGCTCCTAGACTTGAGCTGAGGCCAATATCCGTAACATTATGTTTGGGCCCCTGACAAATGCCCAGAACCACGCCCACAGAAAATAAGAAAGAAAGGGCTGAGAAAAGCTCAGTGGTAGAGTACTTACCCAGCATGCATTGGTACCACAAGCAAGACAAAGCAAAGGCTATGTAAGTGATGTGCACTTAAGAAATAACAGATCAGCCGGGTAATGGTGGTTCCTGCCTTTAATCCCAGCACTCGGGAGGCAGAGGCAGACAGATCTCTATGAGTTCGAGGCCAGCCTTGTCTACAGAGCGAGTTCCAGGACAGCCTGTCTCATAAAACCAATAATAATAATAATAATAAGACTTGAATATTGAAGTCCACATAGTTACCACACAGCATAGATTCCTCCGCTGAAGAGTCCTCTGGCCCAGAAGCCAAGAAGGTAACAGTATCACTTTTGAATGATGCAGTAACTAACAAAACCAAAATAGCTACTCTGTAGCTGAAGAGGGGAAAGTTTACCCCAAATTGTCAAGGCTTTCTCTTGGGAAAGCAGAGAAAAACAATGGGGGTGGTGTGTGGTGGTGATGGTGGCCATGGTGAGGGTGTGGTTTTGGTGGCAGTGGTGGCGATGGTGGGGGGTGGTTTTGGTGGGGGGTGGGGGGTGGTTTTGACGGTGGTGGCCATGGGTGGTGTGGTTTTGGTGGTGGTGGCGATGGTGGGGGGCTGGTTTTGGTGGCAGTGGTGCCGATGGGGAGGTGTGGTTTTGGTGGTGGTGGCAATGGTGGGGAGTGGGGGGTGGTTTTGGTGTCGGTGGTGGTGTGTAGTAACGGTGGTGGTCAAGGCAGGGGTGAGGCTTCTCTAGGGTTTTAAGAGAGTAGGTACCTGACCTGGGGGGAGGGGAGCCTGTGAACTGTGGGGAGGGCTTTGCAGTTTATATCGGGTACTTGTGAATATATTGATGGAGCCTAGAGGCTAGCAGAGACCTTGATATGCTACTAGGCACCACAGGCATAGGTTAATGGAGGAGCCACAGGTCCCTGTTGCCAGAGGAAGAATGACCCCTTTTAGCATGTAGGGACTATCTTCTCAAGCTCCCAAATGAATGGCTTGCCTGCCTTTGGCTAAATGCCAGACTTTTGGAAAAGGAATTTCTTGGCAGACCGTTTTCACACTCCAGCAGGGCTGAAAGGGGAGGGCTGGAGAAGCTGTGGTTGCAGGTTCAAACTAAACAATCAGCATCAGCCCCTCTTCCCGCCCCAGTGGGACTCAAGAATTAAGAGGCAGGTGGAGTGGACCTTAGACATGGGTTCTGAGAGCCTGGTGCCTGCTTTTGATGAGCCTGGCTCCCGTTTTGTCTGAATCAGGCATCGCCTACAGCGCCCTTCCCATGTACCTGGGGGAACTGGCTCCCAAGAACCTGAGGGGTGCATTAGCGACGATGACCGAGGTATTTGTCATCATTGGAGTCCTCCTGGCACAGATCTTCAGTCTGCAGGCCATCCTGGGCAACGCCACAGGTAACCAGCAATATGTGTGGATCGGGTGGGGAGAGATGAACCGTCGGCACGCATGGTACTGACGCTGGTGCGGATGCTGGTGCAGCCGAGCCCAAACTTACCAGTGGTCCAAACAGGAAGGTGTCTTGGTGACCTTTAGGTCAGCTTGTGGATTTAGAGATAAGCCATGCTAGGCTGGCCAGCCAATGAGCTCCCTGAATCTGTTTGCCAATGCTCCCCCACCCCACCCCCAACCTCCCGCCAGAATGCTGGGGTCATGGGCACAGACTGACACAGCTTTTTAGGTAGGTGCCGGGGAGTCAGCAGAGGTCTTCTTACCAGAGTTCTTACCCATCAAACCCTCTTCCCTCTTTTAACATGGGTTCCCTTTGCAGGCAGCCGCACCGTGGCAAGGACTAGGTGCCCACCACTCTCGCTTACCACCTGGTTGGGCAAGGTGGAGGTGAAGCAGGAGGGGACACCTGGGACCCTGCGGCAGACTCACGTCTCAAGCCATCACGGTTGTCCTGTCCAGGTTGGGCGATCCTGTTGGCTCTCACAGGGGTCCCTGCGCTGATTCAGCTTCTCTCGCTGCCCTTCTTCCCCGAGAGCCCCCGCTACACTCTGATTGAGAAAGGGGACGAAGAGACGGCAAGGCGAGGTACTGGGACACGGGCTACAACCCCACCCACAGCCCCCAGTGCACAAAAACAGCACAGAGTGGGCAGGCGCCATCAGGCGAGATGGCGACTGGGGTCAGGGTCACAGGGTCTGAGAGCAGAGAGCTTGTGCTGGGTGGATAGCGTGGTCGGGGTGAGACCTGGGTTCTGGAAAACGGTCTGTCTGCCGTGCAATGGAAGCAGAGGGTGAGTGTGGCAGCCTCCTCTCTGCCCTGCAGCTCTAAGGAGGCTGCGAGGCTGCAACTACGACGTGGAGGCCGAGATGGAAGAAATGCGCGAGGAGGAGCGCAAGGAGCAAGCAGAGGGTCGCCTGTCCGTGCTCAACCTCTTCAGCTTCCGGCCCCTGCGCTGGCAGCTGATCTCCATCATCGTACTCATGGTGGGCCAGCAGCTGTCCGGGATCAACGCGGTGCGTGCGCGCGGTGATGCCTCTCCCCAGAGTTCTGGTCCCTTGGGTCTTTTTTAATGAATTTACAGAAAGCTCAGGGGTAATATTTTGCATTTTGATCCCTGTGAAGCTCAGTCTGGCCTCCAGGAGGGATGAGCTGCAAAGTTGGTGCTGGGTGGAGAGGTTCAGGGAGCGCGGTGCGTGGTGTTACTCTGGGTGTTCCCTTCGCAAGAAACACAGCCTAGGCCTGCAAGACCTCAGCGTTAAGGCCGGGCTTTGGTGGCGCACGCCTTTAATCCCAGCACTCAAGAGGTAAAGGAAGGCAGATCTCTGTGAGTTCGGGACCAGCCTAGTCTACAAGAGCTAGTTCCAGGACAGCCTCCAAAGCCACAGAGAAACCCTGTCTGGAAAACCAAAAAAAAAAAAGAATCTGGATACCTGGATACCTGGTATGCTGAGCTTCAGGAGTTCAGGCAGGAGATCCCATGCCGCCTGGTGGGCAATAACGTTGATATACCCATATCAATGATGCAAAGGAACTTCAGTTTTGCCAAGAAGTTCTCCTTGACTCTGGACTTTACTCAGCTGCCTGACGATACTAAAGCTGTGAAGCTCCTCAATGGTGCAATTTGATTCTCTGTGACTCATGAAGAAAGTTCCCAGGACTTGCTGGATGAGGTTCTACAGGAGCTTCAGAACCTCACTTTGGAGCAGAAATAAAAGGGCACACCACCCAAGAACAGAGTGATGTGATCAAGAGCACATTTTGTTTGTTTTCCAAGACAGGATTTCTCTCTGTGACAGTCCTGGCTGTCCTGGAACTCACTATGTAGGCCAAGCTGGCCTCAAACTCACAGAGACTCACCTGCCTCTGCCTCCCGAGTGCTGGGATTAAAGGTGTGCAGTGCCTGGCCCCATCTTAATCAGAGGACATCCACATATGGCTGAGTTGGGGGATCAGGGAGCCATGTGGAATACCCTATGTCGGAAACCTCTCCAGGCTAGCCCTGTTCAACTTCCTGCAAACCCACTGTGCTGTGGTCCACAATGAGGTCACCGCAAACACACCAGACAGGCACGACACCCACTGACCTCCTGCAGGACGGGGATCCACGTCCTTCAATCTCCGCAGCCCACCAGCAGCCTGGCAGGGCAGACTCGGTGCGCACACTCCTGTCTTCTTGACGGACATTTAAGGTTTGTCATCGTCCCAGCTGACCTCAGAGACTCTGCCTTGAACTCGAGCTGACAGAGCAACTGCCAAGCCCTAACTTCTTTGTGTCCTGCAGAACCTGTGGCACCTCTGTCCCTATTCCCTCCAGTCTCCCCACCAACTTTTTCAACAATGTTTTTGACAGACAACTGTTGATCCCGGGGTTTTGTTTGTTTGTGTTTGTGTTAACCGTTGAAGGGTTCTTCTAGGTCAGGGTGAGAGCAAAGGAACAGGACTCTATTGCAGTCAAGAGAAAACACGGCAAAGCTAGCTATATCTGGTCACACACACATGACCAGTCCCCACCACGTGAACAACAGTTTCTTTGAAAGTCTCCATCTCAGGGCAGAAAGCGTTCCTCCACCCCTCTAGAGGGAGCTAAACCTGCACCTTCTGTTCCTGGCAGAAAATGGCAGAGGGGGAGCTGCCCTGCTTCCTGCCTCCAGTTTGCTTTTCTGATGGTCCTCAGCATTGTTTGCATTGGGTTATTTTGTGTGTGTGTGTGTGTGTGTGTGTGTGTGTGTGTGTGTGTTGTTTCCTTTTGTACAATAAAGATTAAATTTCATAAACACAAACAAAAGATGGGTAAATAGATGGAGATAGTGGAGATAGCTCATCAGTGAAAGGAAGACAGTCAGATGGATGGATAGATGGATGGATAGATAGATAGATAGATAGATAGATAGATAGATAGATAGATAGATAGATGTAGATAGCACATCAGTGAAAGGAAGGAAGACAGTCAGATAGATGGATGGATGGATAGATAGATAGATAGATAGATAGATAGATAGATAGATAGATAGATAGATAGATAGATGATAGATAGATGTAGATAGCACATCAGTGACCACCACTGGTTGCTTCTGCCCAGGATCCGGGTCCCATCCCCAGCACCCACATGGTTACACACAACCACCTGTAACTCTACTTCCAGGGGATTCCAACACGCTCTTCTGGACACCATGGGCACCACATACACATAGTGCACAGATATATGCATGCAGGCTAAACACTCATGAACACAAGACAGAGAGAGAGACAGACAGAAAGACAGAGACAGAGACAGACAGACAGACAGACAGACAGAGAGACAGACAGACAGAGAGAATCCTGCTAGAAAGAGAGAAAGCAAAACCAGGCCTTATTTACAGAAACTGGTGACTGTACTAGCGAAGTTCGGCCATGAGTGTGGTTCTGGGGAGCTGGGACAGGATGTCCAGGGCAAAGAAGCAGCTCCACCCTCCCTGCCTCTCCCTACCATTCACGTTTTTCTTGCTGTGCACCTGTTTTCTTTGCTTCTTAGTCCCCAAAAGAAAATCTCCTGCCTGTAATAATTTACACTCTCTGTAAATGACAGCAGAGAAGTGCCTCACCTCTGATACCAATCACCGACTCCAGGGAGGGCCATAGATTGGTCCATCCTGGGTCAGGAGGCCCTGGTAGGCTCACTTGCTGTGTAAATTTGATGTCCTATTCTATGGAGGCTGTTTTCACTCCATCTGTGGACAGTCAAATACCTAGAGAATCTCAAAAGTCCATTCTGGAGACGTCAGAGAAAGGACAAGTGACCCTGCTGGTGTCTAAGAAAAAGTAACAGGAAGGGTTGACACCTGGTCTTCAAGAGTTGAATTATAGCCGGCAGTAGTGGCTACGCCTCTAATCCTAGCACTCAGGAGGCAGAGGCAGGCGGATCTCTGTGAGTTTGAGACCAGCCTAGTCTACAAGAGCTAGTTCCATGACAGCCTCCAAAACCACAGGGAAATATTGTCTAGAAAAACCACTGCTCAAAAAAGAGTTGATTTAGCAAGTAACCTTGGGAGCCAGTGGGGACCACCCTGGGACTGGGTCAGAACCTGCATTTGCAGGGTGTCAAGTCACATATGGAAAGATGCTCCCACTTTATAAGCACAGAAGCCAAGACTCAGAGATAGCAGAACCTAAACTCAGCACAGAGTCAGACCTACCAGGTGCCTAACTTCACCACTAACTTCTGTCTTCGTTCCAACCCAGATGCCACAGCCCAGGCTCCCTAGCCCAGCTTCCAAAGTGAGAGTAGGAACCTAGTGACATGTCTCTGGGCCTCTGCTCACAGCTCTGACTGTGCTTTAGGTCAACTACTATGCAGATGTCATCTACACCTCGGCTGGTGTGGACCCCACCCAGTCCCAGTACGTGACAGTGGGCTCCGGTGTGATCAACTTGGTGATGACTATCGTCTCGGTGAGCTACTGGGGAGGCCCCTCTGTCTTGTTGCAGGGTCCCCAAACGAACCCCTCCCCCCCTGAAGGCAGCGGCTGGTGCAGATGCCATGGAAAGGTGCCGCTCACTGGCCTGCTCATCGGGGCTTACTGTGCTCACTTTCATATAACACCCAGCACCATTAGCCCAGAGAAGGCACCGCTCATAATGAACTGGACCCTCCCACACCAATCACTAACCAAGTAAACGCCCCATAGGCTTGCCCTCAGCCCTATCTCATGGAGGCATTTTCTCAAGTGAGGGTTCCTCCTCCCCTGTTATGCTAGCTCGTGTCAAGTTGACACAAAACTCTCCAGCACAGCAAAGGTGACCACACCCACCCAGAAAAGGCCAGACTGGGGCACTGTGGCAATCTCCGTGACCCACAGAGGAAGCAGGAGAGTGAGGCCAACATCGTCTCCCATGCTGCTCTCAGACTCTGAGTCTCCAGGGACAGACAGAGCTGGTTTCCTGTCCGGGATTTCTCCAGGCTGGGGTGAGGGGTGAGGAGGCTGGTGATGGTAGCTGGCTGGCGATGTTTAGGACGATGGATGCATCTTGCCCAGAAGGCTAGAGGGGAGGGACAAAGTCATACATTGGTACTGAGGCCCCTTCTTCTTTGCTCCCCTTGAAGATGAGAGAGGCACTCTCAGACAACGCCATTGGTCAGCCACCTCCCGGCACTAGTTACCCACAAGAGGAGCAGCCCCTCCAAGTGGAGAGGCCCAAAGATGCCAAAGCCTTACACGCAGAGTCCAAAAAACATGGTTATTGTGCTGGCTCCGCAGTTCAGAGCCCTCCCTGGTCCTGCCCGGGGCAGCTCACAACCCACTGTAGCTCTAGTTCCAGGAAATCCAGCTCCCCCTTTTGTCCTTCGAGGGTACTGCACGCATATAGCGTCCATTATAAGTCAAGCAGGCACACAAATCCACATAAATAACTTAATGTGGTTTTATCGGGAGTAGATACCCAGTGGTCTATAAATGACAACGACCGCAGTGTGGAACCCCAAGGTGTAACCTTCACCAAATAGGTCACCTGATGTAGCAGGGGTGAACAAGGGCCATGCCGGAGAGGGTGGGTGGAGGTTAGGAGTCAACCCTTCCTACTAAGTCTCCTCCTCACCCCCCTCCCCTGCAGGCAGTCGCCGTGGAGCGTCTGGGGCGGCGGATTCTCCTGCTGTCTGGCTATGGCATCTGTGGCTCTGCCTGTGTGGTGTTAACTGTGGCACTCCTCCTTCAGGTCTGTTCTCACGAGCTGCCCCGTGGGTGGGGGGTGCCCCAGGGGGTTCCAGGTCCCAACTGCACGGAGGGATCTCAGTCCTTTCCAGCTGCCCCCCTTTCGTGGGCAACAGCCTCAGAAAACTCGTTTTCAATGTAACGTGCATGAGTGATCTTGGTGAACGGACTGCTCTGTCTCCCTCCTTATCCTGGAGGCCTCTGTGGGCTCAGAATTCCTGCAGCCGGAGGGTGGAGCCCACAGGGGACTCAGCTTCCACTAAGTCCTGCTTCTCCTACAGAGCACGGTCCCTGAGCTGTCTTACCTCGGTATCGCCTGTGTCTTCGCCTACATCGTGGGACATTCCATAGGCCCCAGTGAGTTCTCGAACGCCTCCTCTGCCTGTGCCGGTCTCTGGAGCCTGACACACATCTGGAGCTCAGTAGACATTTGTGGAAAGGGTGGCTGTCCTTCGTCCATTTGTGTCCACCGCTACCCCTCCAACAGCCTCTGACCTACATATACAGCCCGGTGTTTCTCTGTTTTGTTTTAGTTGGTTGATTGGTTGGTTGGTTGGTTTGCTTTGGTTTTTTTTTTTTTAAGATTTTTTTATTTATTACATATACACTGTTCTGCCTTCAGGCCAGAAGAGGGCACCAGATTGAATTGTAGATGGTTGTGAGCCACCATGTGGTTGCTGGGAATTGAACTCAGGACCCCTGGAAGAACAGTCAGTGCTCATAACCTCTGAGCCATCTCTCCAGCCCCTTGCTTTGGTTTTTTAAGACAGGGTTTCTCTGTGTAACCTTGGCTGTCCTGGAACTCACTCTGTAGACCAAGCTGGACTCCAACTCACAGAGATGCCCCTGTCTCTGCCTCCCGAGTGCTGGGATTAAAGGTGTATGGACCACCACCATCTGACCTGTTTTGGTTTTTTTTTTAATCCGACTCATACTTTATATCCTTGGCTGGCTTTGAACTCACAGGCCACCTGCCTCAACACCCAAGTGCTAGGATTACAATTGAGCATTACTCTGCCCAGATCTAGGCCCACTCGGTTTTTAAAAATGTATCATCTGTTTCATTCATGTGTATACACATAATAAATTCCAGGCCAGCCAGGACTACACAGTCCTCTGCTACAAGGTGAGCTGAAAGCCAGCCTGAGAAAAGTGAGCTCTTTCTAAAACATAAATGTATGCATTTATTTTGGTTTGTTTATTTTCAAAAAAAAGATTTCTCTGCATAGTCTTAGCTGTCCTAGAACTTGTTCTGTAGACCAGACTGGCCTCAAGCTCAGAGATATCTGCCTGCCTCTGCCTCCCTTGTGCTGGGATTAAAGGCGTGCGCCACCACTGACCAGCCAAATGTATTGTTTTACGTGTTATTTAAAGTTTGTGTGTCTACATGCTTACATAAGCTACAGAGCATATGTGGAGGTCAGAGGACAGCTGTAGACATTTGAGATAAGACTCCTTATGGGAGAAATAACGAGAGAGCTGAGATTGGAGATCTGGCACTGCCTTGCCCATACTCAATTCAGGGGGCAGCAGTGTGTAAGCCAGGAGCTCACGGGGCACAGCAACTCCTTGACAAGCAAGAATTTCAAAACTGGGCCAGTATAGAGCAAGGGCTGGAGAGGATTTGTGCTGTGGGGAGCCTGAGAAGCTTTCCATCCTCTGGGTTGCTACAAACCTTCCCTAGCATCCGGCTGATGCCGGCTGCCACTCTTGGCTCTCCAAGCCTTTGCTGTAGCTGGGGGTAGAGATGGAGTTTGTTTTTAGCTCCCGGTGAGGGCAGGGGTGTCCACACTGGGAGGTAGGGTGCTCCAAGGATCTGAGGTTCAAACTGAGGTCCCTCAAGCATTCTCATCCCCCAGTCTCCCCCAGCAGGGGTGTCACACCGGGAGGTAGGGTGCTCTAAGGGTCTGAGGTTCAAACTGAGGTCCCAGTGGGGTTCAGGGCCCTCTGACCCTCCCTTCCGCCCAGGTCCTGTCCCGTCAGTGGTGAGGACAGAGATTGTCCTGCAATCCTCCCGGACAGCCGCCTTCACAGTCGATGGGGCTGTGCACTGGCTCTTCAACTTCATCGTGGGCTTGGCGTTCCCCTCCATGCAGGTGAGTGGCCCTGCGTGCCAGCCTTGGCCACCCTGCCCTGCCTCAAGGCCATGAGTAGTTCCTGCTTTTCGAAGACACCCTGCCCCCAAGCCTAGGGATGTAGCTGGGTTTCCACCTAGGCAGCACAAAGGCTTCTCCCCAGCACAGAGGAAGCTGCATATGATGGTGGTACAGGCCTGGGAAATCAGCACTTGGAAGGTGGGGCCAGGAGGATCTGGTGTGCAGGGCCATCCTGAGCTACATAGAGATCTGAGGCCAACCTGGGGCGTGTGAACTCTTACGTCAAAACACATCTGCCAACTGGAAGCGACCACGAGTAGCTCCCGGGTGCGGCATGTGAGCTCTTTATATGGACTTACATTGCTGGGCTGGCAAACCCAACACACATGAAAGGCAATCCCCTCCCACTGCATGGTATGCCCAGCCTGGAACTCTTAATCCTCCTCCTCAGCATCCATAGTGCTGGGTTTAGAAGCTCGTGCCACAGCACCCAATATACAATCCTTTAGTAAGCCGAGCCCCACTGAGAGCGGCGATTGCACCTCAGGGTTGGAAATGGCTCTCTGTTAAAGATCAAAAATGACAGTGTCAGCAGAAGGGGGTGAACCCTTGCTACCTCCCTCCTCTGAGTCAGCCAGACACAGGCTTCTGATGCAGGAAGAACCTAGAGCCTGTGAAGTCCCTGGGAGCCAAACACTAAAGACTCCTTTTGGAGGTGCGGGATGGGCCGGTTTTCCCACTGATTCTTCCTCCAGGAGAGGAATAAAACTGGCCATGAGGAAATCCCTGTGACCCACAGACGTGCCATGAGTGTTGTCTGAAGGTCTCCCTCCCCCTCGGCCCCTCTCTGCTCTAGGCGGCCATCGGGGCCTACAGCTTTCTCGTCTTTGCCGCCCTCTGCCTCCTCACGGCCGCTTACATCTACGTGGTGATTCCTGAGACCAAGGGCAAGACCTTTGTGGAGATAAACTGTGCTTTTGCCAAGAGAAACGGAGTGGAGTTTCCGGGCGGGAATGACGTGGTGATGGCCAAGCCTCACACACCCTCTCCGCCTGCCAAGCAAACGACCTTTTGACGGCTCTGCGGACCCTCACACACTCCGGCTCCTTTCTCTGAGAAGGACACTTGGGGACCAGATCTTCTGAGCGGGAAACAGCTCTGAGACTTTGGTGTTCGCGTGTGGTGTGTGCTTGTGATCTCCACACTGGACAAGCAGAGACAGGGTTCCGGAAGCTCACTGGTCAGCCAGCCTAGCCTGGTCCGGGAGCCCGAGGTCCCGGTGGCAGGCCTGTCTCCAAAAGCAAGGTGGACCGTGTTGACGGAAAATGACATCTAAGGTCATCCTCGGGCTTCCATATGTGTGTACACAGAAATGCTCATGCACATGCCTGCATGTGACATGTGACACACACACACACATACACACACACACACACACACACACACACACACACAAAGCATCTACAGTCAGGATGCAGAGCCTGCTGATGGCGCCCCATTCGTCTGGCAGTTAGGATTGGGTCCTCCCACTTCAGTTAACCTAATCTATACAATCTCCCACAGACATGCTCAGAGGTGGATGCCCCTCTGTAGGCTCTGAATGGTTTATTACCATTGGTTAATAAAGAAGCTGATTTGGCCAATAGCCAGGCAGAATAGAGCCAGGTGGGAAATCTTTCAGGCAAAGACACAGGGAAAAAGAAGACTTAGTCTAGGAGACACCAGCAGTTGCTGAAGAAGCAAGATGTGAGGTAACAAGCCACAGGCCTCGTGGCAATACAGATGAACAGAAATGGGTTGACTGAAGCTGTAAGAGCTAGTTAATAGTAAGCCTGAGCTAATAGGCCAAAGAGTTTGTAATTAATATTGAGCCTCAGAGTGGTCACTCGGGGACTGGTGGGTGGGAGAGAAACTTCCAGCTACAGAGGTGTGTCTCCTGAGGGATTCCGGATCCAACCAAATCCTGACTGAAGGTCAGTATTGGCCACCACAGCTCCCTTCTTAGAGGCATCCCTTTGTTACAAGGAGATGAACCCTCAGACACAGTGTATAGCAAGTGAACGTTTGTGCTCCACGCATCGAGGACCTCAACCATTGAGGTGTGGCCCTGGGGTTTTTAAAGGCAGAGACTGTCCAGGCATCTCGCTTGGCAGCTGAGGGGATGGGGGGGGGCTTCACCGAGTAAGTAGTTTGAAGCAAACAGTTTCATCAGAAGCTAAGGTAATTGGTTGTCCAGCTGGAGGGAGTTCCACAGGAACAGGCAGCTAAGATAAACGTTATTAGCTTGAACCCAGTCTGCACAACCTTTTGACAAAGGCTGGGACAGGCTAGCTAGCACATTTTGACCTTTGGTTCCTAGAATAGAGTTGTAGTTCTCCATCAGGGAGATCAGATTCTAGTTCAGCAGTTCTCAACCTGAGGGTCTCGGCCCCTCTGGGGGTCAAATGACCCTTTCACAGGGGTCCAACATTTGATTCATAATGGTAGCAAAATTAAAGTTATGAAGTAGCTTAACAGTTGGAGTCAACCCAACATGAGGAACCATTTTAAAGAGTCGCGGCATTAGGAAGGCTGAGAGCCACTGCTCTAGTTAGACCTGAAATGGCCTCCGCAGGAGTGCGAGACGGAGGGGCCTCTGCACTGTCCTGCCCGTCACACCTTAGCCCCTCCCTTTTGCACCCTTCCCTTCCCCAGAAAGCTCACTGGGCCTCTGGGACATTATACTCCCCACTGTCACTTAGTGATGACATACCCATCATCCCAGCACTCAGGAGGTAGGGGCAGGAGAATCGCGAATTCAAGACTAGCCTGAGAGGCATAGCAAGACTGTCTCAAAACACGAGCATTTCTCATTGCCACTCAGTTTGCCTGTTGGTGTCCAGAGAGATTCCACCACCTCAGCCATCACCAGTCCCCAGGGTCTGGACCTCAGCTGTGCCCTGGGGGCAGAAAGGGACCCACTGGTCAGTGGTGTCCTCACAGTCAACGTCAGTCTTTGGTATCTGGCTGGAATTCTTCTCATGGGCAAGGTGACCTTTTGCCTCTGGTGAGTGGGCTGACTTGTGATTGCATAGAAGAGGCCATGGCCCTTCAGTCTCGGAGGGACGTGTCCCACACCCTCGGCCACAGTGGAAACTGCAGAAGATGGGGTCCTGGACCCCTTTCTCATTCCCTTTTTCACTTGCTTATATCCCTAGTTTCCATTCTGAAACCAAAAAGCGCCAGTCTCCTTCCCGTGGACTTCCCCTTAAGAAAACCCACTTTCAGGGTCCTGGGGACATAACTCAATCAACACTGTGCTTGCCATGGGAACCTGAGCTCTGTCCCCAGTACCTCATTAAAAAGCCAGGCATGGACTGGAGATGCAGATAAAACCACCAGCTACCAAGCCCAACAACCTTAGTTCAAGCCTCCCCCACTCCCCCACCACACAACACCACCGGCACCTCCCCACCCCCATCCACATGGGGAATGGGAATCTCCCAAAAACTATCCTCTGGCCTCAAGTCACAGCACAACCTCACCCATATGTACACACACACACACACACACATTAATCAAAACCTAATAAAGTGTTTTTAAATCTATCAAAAAAATAACAGCCAGGAGCTATGAGAGCCTGTACTCTGCTGAAGAGGCAGACACCAGAAAGATCGGACTCGATGGCCAAGAAGCTGAGCCCAGCTGGTGAGCTCAGGTTCAGCCGGGGACGCTGTCTCAAATCTTAGAGGGAAAGTGACTGATGTGAAAAAAAAAAAACACGGAGGGGTGGGTGCTGGAACCTAAGGCCTCCACAAGCACACGTGCAAACACACATGGGGTGACCTGAGGCCTCCACATGCACACGTGCAAACACACATGGTATCACCTGAGACCCCACATACAAACAGGCAAACACACATGGGGTGACCTGAAGCCCCCATATGCACACGTGCAAATACACGGAAGGAGATGGGGTACATGCTGCTTTCAGTGATAAATCTTTTTTTTTTTTTTTTTGGTTTTTCAAGACAGGGTTTCTCTGTATTGTTTCGGAGTCTGTCCTGGAAGTAGCTCTGTAGACCAGGCTGGCCTCGAACTCACAGATATCCTCCTGCCTCTGCCTCCCAAGTGCTGAGATTAAAAGCATGCACCACCAACGTCAGGCCAGTGATAAATCTTTAGGGGGAAAGAAAGGAATTTCCTTTCTTCCTCCTGCATTTTCTTAGGGTTTCTTGTAGTCCAGGCTAGCCTAGAACTAGCCTGTGTATCCAAGGATGGCCTCAGGCTCTGATCCTCCAACCCCATCTCCCAAGTGCTGGAATTATAGGCATGCATCACCATCCTCAGGATTTGCTGGAATGTTTTAAGCAACAGACATCATGATTTTTTCATGGCTAAATAACTGACAATGATTATTTTAAAATAAAAAACATTTTATAAATGAATGGTATCTGTATTAAACATCTACTTTTTTCGGTTATTTCTAATATTGTCCACATATTCAGAGGTCCAGAGTGAGGGCTCCCCAAGGAGTGTTGTGATTGCTCCTGTCAGACACCAGGAGGAGCCATTGAGCTGAGTTTCTCTTTTCCTGGAGAGAGAGGGGAGGGAGAAGAGAGAGACAGAGAGACAGAGAGACAGAGAGAGAGAGAGAGAGAGAGAGAGAGAGAGAGAGAGAGAGAGAGAGAGAGAGAGAGAGAGAGAGAGAGAGATGTAGGGAGGGGGAGGGAAAGAGGAAGAGGAAGAGAGAGAGATTGAGAGAGAGATGTAGCTATGTGAATTTGAACCCAGAACCCAGAGGAGGGCCAGCTGTTACTTATTGTAGGCCGCCTTGTCCTCCTCCGGGTACGAATGCTGGCTCAGGCTGTCATTGAGATGATGAACAGCCAGGATGGAGGCTGAGGGTGTGTAGAGCTCAGTAACAGAACGTGTGCTTAGCATGTGCGATGCTCCATTCCATTCCTAGCACAGGTATTGTTTTAAAAAATCACCCCAGGCTAAAAATAACAAAAAGCAGCACCCATATAAAACAGCTTCTAGCAAGGTTGGTTCACCTCTGTGGGGGCAGGGCCTTGTCATTCCATGAGCTCCTGCTTCAGGGACCCCCAGCAGACAGGAGATTCAGTGTCAGTCTTTTCTTCCACTCTGAGCTCAGCTCTGCAGCAGAGAGGAGGGGACATTGGAGGAAGGTGACCTCGGCTCTGATGACAGGCTGGGGCACTGGCTGACTTCCTTAAGGCAGTATTTTATGTGAGTCTTTTGCACCCTAATCCCAGCTCTCAGGAAGCAGAAGCAGGAGGATCTCTGTGAGTTCAAGGCCAGCCTGGTCTACAGAGTGAGTTCCCGGACAGCTAGGGTGTTACACAAAGAAACACTGTCTCAAGGGGAAAAAATCCTCAGCAATTAAGAGAGCAGGCTGCTCTTCCAGAGGACTAGGTTTGAATCCCAGCACCCATGGGGCAGCTTACAACTTTTCTGTAAATCCAGTTCCAGGGGGATCTGATGCCCTCTTCTGGCCTCAGCAGGCACTGCACACATGTGACCCACCCACATGACATAAAAATAAATCTCCAAAAATATGTTTTTAATGTCTGTTTATAGAAACAGAAAGCCCTGACCAAGGCGGAGGTATACTCAGTGGTGACCATGACAAGGCCCTGGATTCTGTCCTCAGTGCCAAAGAATGAACAATATTTGTGGGTGTGTTTGCCTAGGTGTGACGGTTAATATCAGAGAGATTGATAGTCACGCATTCTCGGTAGTCAGCTCAACACTCCTGCAAAGAGGGGGCCCTCATATGAGGTCACCTCTCATTGGCCTATGGGCCCGACTGTGGGACACCTGCTGGATTGTTCATTGGGGGAGGAGGGCCCCGCCCACTGCGGCAGGTGGCCCTGGGTCACATAAAGAATCTCAGTGAGGGGAAGCAGGAAGTAAGCCAGGGAGCACTTCCTGTTTCAATCTCCTGCCTCGGTTTCTCTTGATGAGCTGTAACTGGTAAGTCCAATAAACCCGTTCGTCCCACAGCTGGTTCTGGTCCTCGTGTTTAACCCAGCAACAAAATGCTAACCAGGACGGTGAGCGTTTGGAGAGAGGGAGGCAAGAAACACAGCTTCCTGCAGTCGAATGCAGTACCCCGAGGAATTCCCCCCACTTTCGGGGACCTCAACTCAGGCCGAACAGGTACCCGTGGCTTCAGTTCAGAAAGGAACCCCACGTCTCTCTACTTTATGAAGTGGGGTTGGGACCTAGTTATGGTATTTTACTATCAGCTTAGCTGTGAGGGTTAAGAGGAAGAGAGGGGAACCCCACACACTGGAGAGCGTGGGCGTGGGCTCCCCAGAGGCCATCTCAGCTGTCTGTGGAGTACAGTGGTCCTGGGTAGGGTTTGGTGCAGTGAGAGGATGTTTTGTGGCTAAGAAGCCTGGGGGCACCGTGTGCCCCCAGGGACACATGGCAGGACTACAGTCGATGGGTAAGAGTCTTAAAAGTTTTGCCTGAGATTCTGAGGCCATGCCTGGGGAAGCAAACAAGGCCCATGACCCTAAACATCCGGGCCTTAAACACGGTCATTGTCACTTTAACATAAAATATCTACATATGAGAATATTATTTAGTCTATAATTGTTGTAACAAATGCTGGGCTGTTTTAACTTTTGTTTATTTATTCATTGCTCTCTGTGAATGTAGAGGTCAGAAAACAATTTATAGACGCCAGTTCTCTCCTTCCAGCATAGACGGGCTCAAACTCGGTTCCTTGGGCTCCCTGGGAATGCCTTTATGAGCTCAGTCATCCAGCGGACCCAGATGTTGTGGACTGCACTGGAATTCCAGCTTCTCAGCTCACAGGAGGCTTCACCAGACTCCAGGGAGGGCTCCCCCTCTGTCTACCCGGGTAATAACTGATAACTGGGCAGGACTTAGGATCACCCAGGAGACACATTTCTGACCACGCCTGGAGGATTTCTAAATTGGGTGAACCGGTGTGACCCACCACGAGTGTAGATCGCACTCTAGCAAATCTGTGCAGCTGGGCGTCCTTCACATGCACGCGCTGTGGGCGGGGCCACCAAGGCCTGTAAAGTCCTGTGTGCACAGACCGGGCCCTCTCTACGGTGTCCACTGGAGGGCAGCACCTTCTCCACAAAGGCGGCTGAGTCGGCTGCCCCTCCCTCCAGCCTCTGGCCTGACCTTGTTTGTACAGCTACCCTGAGCCTTTCAGAAGATTCTGGCTCTGGTGACAGGAGCACGCACTGGGTGTGCTCTGGAAGAGCCCTGGCTATTTCTGAAGGACGGCCAGCTTCTCAAGGGCTCTCAGTCCCTATTGCGCTACCCACAGGCAGCTCTGAACACTGAAACCTCAGGGCCTGCCTGCGCCCTCCTGGCTCCTGTCCCCCAGGCTGTCCCCTTGGAGGAGGAGGTAGCCTGGTGACTTTCTCCCCTCTGATTGAATGAAACTGGTTTCCTGACTTTAAAGGACTTGACTCCCAGACGCCCCTGCGAGAACATTTTTCAGAAAACAAAGTTGACCTCAGAAATTTGGTTTGAAAATAAGTGTTATCCTCAAATTACCAGCAGAAATCCCCCACCCCACCCCACCCCACCCCACCCTGGCCCTCGTTTGGGTTGTTTTCAAACAATTTCTGCTATGATGTTTGTAACAGGGAAGGCGAGAATCATAAATTAGCAAGTTATAGCACCATTATGTCCATGGTCTGTTTGCCTAGAAGTCACAAAAATATTAGGGATGATTATGTTATGCAGAGCCATCTCACCAGCCCCTTTGAAAGTTTTTTAACATGTATTTAGTGTTGGGGGAAGGGGAAGGAGAACCAGATAAGCGTGGGTCTCACGCCACAGCGCATGTGTAGGAGTCAGAACACGATTTCTGTGGAGTCAGGTTCTCTCCTTCTACCGTGTGGGTCCTTGGGAATAAACTCAGGTTGTCCGGCTTAACCAAAGGTGCCGAAACCCACGGAGCCATCTCACCAGCGCAGAAATTTAAATACTGGAAAATTTGAGGAGATTTTATTTGAGTTCATGGCTTCCTCAGTATTATAGAATCTGTGCTACTTGAGGAGCATCATTATCTAACCCAACTATAGAAAGACTGTTATTTAAATTCTTACTGTGGGTCATTCTGGACCTCGTTACATGCGCACGTGCGCGCACGCGCGCACACACACACAATTTCAGACCTGTCCTCAGCCCCTCCCCCCCAAGTAAAACAGATAATGGCCAACTTTTAGCTACTTCAAGACCAAGCAAGCCTAACTGACTGAAATGAACTGAAAACATCTCAAAGTGTGGAGAGATGGCTGAGCAGCAAAGGCTCCTGGCACCAAGGGTGGCCCCATTGCGTTCTGTTCCTGGGCCATGAGGTTTAAAGAGATGACTGATTCCAGAGGTTGGCCTCTGACCCGCACATGTGTGTCACGGCCTGTGTGCAGCTCCACAATAGGTAGACAGACAGACAGAGAGACAAATAGGTATTGTGGGCATATTGGATTGGCGCACACCTTGAATCTGAATACTCAAGAGGCAGATGCAGGCAGATCTCTGTGTGTTCAAGGTCAGCCAGGCCTACATAGTGAGTTCGAGACCAACTAGAGTTATACTGTGAGACCCTATCTAAAATAGCATATAAATAAATAAATGAGAAAAGTAATAAAATTTTAAAAGAAAAGGTTTTAAAAAGATTGTGCTGGGTGTTGGTGGTACAGGTGGATCTCTGCGAGTTCGAGGCCAGCCTGGTCTACAGAGTGAGTTACATGACAGCCTCCAAAGCAATACAGAGAAACCCTGTCTTGAAAAAAAAAAAGATTGAGCCCAGTGTTGGTGGTGCACACCTTTAATCCTGACACTCAGGAGGCAGAGGCAGGTGGATCTCTATGAGTTCAAGGTCAGCCTGGTTTACAGAGGGAGCTCCAGCACATGCTCCAAAGCTACAGAGAAACCCTGTCTCAAACACGAGTATTTCCCTCCTGGGCTGGGAGACAAGAACTCTTCCATTCATTCCACTGTCCCTAATAAGTCTCAAATGCAGCTGCCCAGGCCCAGGCCCTCCATTGGCTCCTGAGGGGCTGTGGACTGATGGAAGCCAGACCTCCAGGCCAGGCGGGCGATCTGGCAGGCCGGGGCAGCAATGGGCCATCTCTCTGAAAAGGGTTCCGTTCTTACTGGTCCACTTTCCAAACTGGGCCTTTGCTGATGAAGGCCTCGGCCACAGTGCGGCTGGGGGGAGCCCTGCTCCTCTTGAGTCCACTGTCAGTCTCGGGGGTGAGCCAGATGTTCTCATAGTCTTTATGCTGCTGTGGCTGCAGCAGCGTTTCCAGAAGGAATATTCTTCAGGGCTGAGGCAATGGCTCAGTGCACAAACTGCTTACCATACGTAGGCAGGTTTTTCTGTCCCCTACCAGATCCCACATCACAACATGAAGACTTATTATTAGGTGTGAAAGCTCGACCGGTAGCTTAGGCTTGTTTCTAAGGAGACATTATAACCCAAATTAACCTGTTTCTGTTCATTGACTTTCTGCCTGGTGACTTTATTCCCTTTACTCTGCTGCTTTCCTCCCTCCTACACCTCTGGCTGGTGACTCTCCTCATCTCCGCCCTTCTTCTTCCCTGAAATTCCTGCCTAGCTGTAGGTCAAGTGACAAATCTTCACAGGGTACAAAGAGATTATCCCACAACAATTATACAAGAATGAGGACCTGAGTTCAAATCTCCGGAACCACGAAAAGCCAGGCACAGTGGTTGTGTCTCAAACCCCAGCGCTCTGACAGTGAAATGGGAGGCAGGAGAATCCCCAAAAGTTCACAGGCCAGCTAACAATGACAAACAACAAAGAGACACCTGAGACCACACACCTGCTCAACACACACACACAATCACACACATATACACACACACATGTACACACTCACACATACACACACACACATACATATACACTCACACACACATACACACACAAACTCCCAGAGATTGGAACACCATGGCCCAGAGTTGAGAGAGCAAATGGGACTCAGTAAAAGATGACAGTCTAGAAAGCAACCAGCGAATGACGTAGCCCACAATTAAGGCTTTGGAATTAATTCGATGTCATGGAAAACCACTGGAGGGTTCTCAGTGTGAAAATGACCTGATTGGGTTTGTATTTCAAGGGAATAAATAGCAATAAAGAATAATGAATACCCACCACTCCACTACCCATCCTCAGCAATAGCCCCAGGCAGACAGGACAGCCCTGCAGTTTCTCCAGGCACCTGTACTTTAATTGATAGAGCCACTGTTCTGTCTACGTTTGTTTTATTATCTTGTTATATGTTTTGCCACCTTAAAATTATATATAGACCATGTTGTATTGTTGAACTTTTTATAAACAAGATTGAGCTGTTTTTCTTGCTGTCCGGATCTGTGGTTCAGCATCGTTTGTGAGATTTTGCCCTGATGTGTCCGATTCCATCCCTTCCTGGTGTTTGCCCTGTTGGTGTGTCTAATGTCATCATCTATAAAGCATCACTATATCTCTTGACAAACGCTAGGTTTTCCCATTAATACTCAATTATAAGAAATGCTGCTCTGAGGGCCAGAGAGCTGGCTCAGATGGTACAGTGCTCACTCAAGCCTGAAGACCCAACTGAGCCCAGCGCCCACATAAAAAGCCAGGTATGGTGGCACACTTGCAACTCCAGCACTGAAAAGGGAGAAATAAGTGGACCCCTGGGACTCTCCGGCTGGCCAGCATAGACCAATCATCCAGCCTCAGATCAGTGAGAAACCTTGTCTCAGAAACCAAGACAGGAGGCTGGAGAGATGGCTCGGTGGTAGAGCTCTCTTCAGACTCACAGAGGACTGGATTGGAGCTTCCCAGCCCCCGCATGCCCATTCACCAACACCTGTAATTCAAGTGGCAGGAGATCGCATGCCCTTCTGGCTTTCCAGGGCTTCTACACACATGGAGTGCACACTGGGGCACACATGCATAAGATCTCATATGATTCATGACGGGCAGCTCCTGAGGAAACAAGCCCTGGGACCTAGGTTGACCATTGGCCTTCACGAGCATGTGCACACACATGCACCTGCGCGCACACACACACAACTGCATGAATGCACACACACACACACAACTGCATGAATGCACACACACACACACAACTGCATGAATGCACACACACACACAACTGCATGAATGCACACACACACACACACACACACAACTGCATGAATGCACACATAACCACATCTTACACTCTCTTATTATACTTAATATAAAGATCCTATCAGTCTTCCTCCTGGTAGTGTTAGGCACCAATAACAACCGTAACCTGAGTCTGTGATGTCAGGGAGTTTGTGAAGAATGCCTGCTGAACCCACTAGCTGGAAGTACTTCACGAAAAAGTGGCCTCCCCAACTGCAGATTGCCAAACATGGCCACCAAAAGCCAGGTCAGCCTGAACCGCGAATGTGGCCTTATGCTAAAGGGAATCTTTTTTATTAGATTTACTTTTCTATTTTATGAGTACATATCTATGCCCGTGTATGTCTATGCACCATATGCATGCAGGTGCCCTCAGAGGCCACAAGAGGGCATCAGATCTCCTGTACTGGAGTTACAGACAATTGTTAGTCACTCTAAGAAGGTAATGGAAAGGTCAAAATCAGCCCGAGCTACAGAATCAGTTCCAGGACAGCCAAGCTTGGGCAGTGAAGCAAACCAAGAAAACCAAAAAAACTGGTGAAATGTATTTCAACTAGGGGGCCATGTTTCAGACCCAGCCAACAGCAGAACAGCTTTGACCATGTGGTTCTGGCTTTAGAGTCAAGGATACAGGAAAAATGTTATGGAATCTCCCTCTGCAACTAAGGAAAGCAACTGAGGCCAGGAATATGTCTGGGGTGTCCCTGAATGGAGGCCTAGAGAGGCCGTTGTATCAAGCTGTGAAGGTGATTTTCTTTAAATCTTGCTAAATGTTGATAGACAAAATATTGTAACTATGTTCTTACTTGATAACTGTTCTTTTATATATAATTTGACTATGTTAAAGTAAGACCTTTCTTTTTGTTTAGACAGAAAAGAGGAGATGATGGGAGAAGTCCTGTGTATATGTCAATAAAGCACTGTTGTCCAATAGGGAACTAAGATAGGAGGGACTAGGAGTCCAGGAGGACTCTGGGAAGGAGAAACACAGAGTCAAGATGTAACACCATGGGGTAGGAAGCCCGGAACTATTCTCCGGTAAGAGAAATACTTAGATTAACAATTATGGGGTAATTACTTAAGTCAGAGCTAGCCAGTAAGAAACAAGCAAGGCCAACAGCTTTATAATTAATATAGCCTCCTGTGTGTCTATTTGGGTCTGATGCAGCTCTAGAACCAGGCTGGCGGGAAGGCTTCTCTCAAGGAAAAGGTTTCCCTTTACATAATGGTGATCAGGAGTGGGATGATGAATTTCCACGTAGAGCAACAAAAGATTTAAGGGAATTTTAGAAACAAAAGAACGGAGAAAAGCATGGGCTTTTTGGTAGCAGCATTTTTCTCAGGTGGGCTCTGTTTTGCTAGCAACAAGCAGAGACTCACGTGACTCGCTGAAGGGAGTCTTGGAGTCTTCCTGACTCAGCATTAAAAAAAAAAAAAACAGCAAGGTTCTTTTAAGAGGTTCTGCTAACAATGAAAAGTGTGTAAGCACAGCTGGA